AGTTTGAACGCCTCCACAGGTTGCGGTAGAAAAGCTGCGGAAGCCTAGGGAGTTTGTCCACGCTCCATGCGAAGAAGACCTAAAATGACACAGGCTCCGCAGAGGAGTTCTATGCGAAGCTCGAAGACATGGACCTTTTAGCCCAGAATGCAATTCTTTGTGGTGCCGATCGCATTTGTGCACCCGACACTTTGAGACGACTGGCAGGGACATATTCCCGGGAGAGTGTCAAAGAGGAGGGTGCTTGAGAGGTACGCATGTTTGTCGTTGAAACAGGATCTACTCATGCCATTTGGATCGGACCTTACACACCCCGCCTTTCACCCAGGCAGAAAGGGGTACATAGGATTTTGTGCTTGTGGATTTGTTAGGTTCCATGGAGAAAATGATGCGGTGGAGACAGATTTTTTTAAAGGCGTCCAGAGGCAGCCCTTCGTCGTTTGCACTTTGATGGAGCAGAGGAAACGCTGAGATTGGTCACACCTCTCATATCCTCTCGTTGTAGTCGCCCAGCTGAGGAATACAAGATGGCGCCCAAGATGGAACGTTATTTCCCCGACATCGCAACTCCCTGGCGATATCCCAACTCGGGCCACTTGGCTGAGAATACGTGGCAATCAGCAGCTTGACTATAAGAATCAAGCAGAGTGCGGGGCTAGAGATTCGACAGAGGCATCTTGTTTTGATTCAAGAACCCATGAAGTAGGTGTGTCGAAACGGAAGGATCCCTTGATTGATATAGCCAAGACCCTTCAACGGAAGGTCTTTGGGATCACCTGGTGATCCCTTGGCCCACAAGGAGCCACAAGCTGGCGATCACTACGTCGATGTGTTTGTTGCTTCGCTATTCCTGGCCCACTGCCACTAACTAGGGACGTCATGGGAGGTTTAAAACCACTATTTGAATCCTCCTGAATCCTTGGGAGCTGCTGAAGGTCATCCCCATCCGGTCAAGTGGGCAGCACTGCTCCAGGCTGTATCTGTGGCTCTGCTGCAGCGGTGACCGCCTTCATTCATGGCCTGGTCCATGGCACTGAAGGGGGAACCTACAGTGAGAAGGATGATGATCAACTCAGAGTGCAAGAGTTCCTCCTGAACTGGGAGACCCGCGGCGTGCGATATCCCTTCCACTTGGACCACGAGCCTCCGACAACGTTGGCGAAGCGGCCTCCTTTTTTGTGTGCGGTGACCGCCGATCCGATGGAATTGTCGGTACTCCCTTGCAGATTGACATAGAACATCATAGAACCCCAAAACCCAGTACTGGGTTCGGTCTTCTAACGGGTGAATTGTGAGGCTCCATGTTAGTTTGCCGGGGGGTATGTTTGTTTTTTTTGCACCCCAGTTTTTTTCGGTAGACCATCCAACGTCGTGTGCCCGGCCAGAGAACTGGTCGGTAGACCATCTCACAGCAATCAACACCCGACCCATTGGTCACAGATTGCTTGGACGTCCGTGTTGGAACTGCCACATGTGGATCGTCCTGGATAGTCGCTGACGGCAACCACAAAGTTCCAATTGCTTAGCCTACATGCATGTGAACGTTAATAGGGCTCAGCCAAGTTCTTTCTTATCTCCAGCTCAAAAGCGCTTCCAAAAATCCAGAGATAGAGACCTTGGTGACCAGCCCATGTCGGATTCTGCAGGAATGCCGGATGTTTCAGAACATGGGCGAACCCGAGTGTGGTTGGGACTTCGAGCTGCATGGATCCGTTCCCCGCGTGCGCAACCTGCGGACGGGGCACCAGCCACTGGTCGTCCATGGATGCGGAGGGCATGGCCGGTGGTTTCTCAGTGACATCTACCGCGAATTGGAGTTGCTGGAATTTTTGGATGTCAAGCCTGACGACTTGGCTTCTGTGGCTAGGCCGGCAAGATCGACTGCAAAAAGCGTCAAGACGATGGGGGTTGAAGCCCTCCGAGTTTCGGGAGCTTCACACGGGAGATTCAACTCCTTCCATCGAAGGCTCGCAGATTTCGATCCGATGGATGGACGTCCAGTTCTCACCACCCGTTCCGATTCCACCCATATCCCACAGAGGCCGCGGGGGAAGCGGCATCCGCATGCGAGGTCCCCTATGCTGGGCTGGTGGCCCCTGGAGAGCAGGTGACCGAGGAGCACTGGGTGGAGCAGCCGCCCTGGGAGTTTCCCTTCCAGGTCGGTCGAGATTGGGGAAAATGGAACGAAACCACTCGTGACCCCGGAAAAAACATACGTATAGAACAAACATCATACAAATCCTTTGAAATCTGAAGATGTGAAGTTGTAGATGTGATTCACTTCATTCACATTCATCATCCTTCACATCCTCTCCTGCCTTTTTGGGTTCCTCCGCCTTTGGCCCCACCACTTTCTCCCGGAGGCCTTCGAGGTGATCCGCGGCGCCGCGCTGCGGGAAGAGGCCGCCGAGGCTGCCGAGCTTCCAAAGATAGGCCGCTTCGTCGCTGCGCCACACCGATGCGCCACACTGGGGATCACGTGCATGTGTAGATTTGATCGGGGTCTGGGGGGTTTGGCTATGGAGTGTAGGTAAAATGTGCACGTTTTTTTGGGGGACATGTGAGTATTGGTTTGACTACGTTTGACTGGCCTTCAGAAGCAAGCGAACCTGTAATTCGGAGAAGGGCTGAACATGTGGTTTGCATGAGTGCATTTTGCGATGTAGAGTGACAGTGGGTACAGGGGTATAGTTTAGGTGATTACCCAGATGTGAAGATTGTTTTCTTGAAGGCACAAGGAAGCTGGATCCAACATCCAGGATGCCCAAACAACAAGCCCCTACAAGACCCGTAATTACAGCAGAAAGCAGAGGGAAATTGTCATCTTCGGCCCAGATATACTTTTTGTTTTTTTGATACGAGCATGGTGTTGTTGTCATTGTCGGGCCAATAAGAGCAAATAATGTAATAATATGTAATAATGTGTTGCCAGCTATGCTCCTTGGTGGTAGGGGGGCATGGAAGACCACACCAGACAGGTTTGAACCAAAAGCTGCTCTGAGGCTTTTGTAGATAAGTCATGATGAGTCGTCTAAATATCATGGAGTGCAAGTCGCATTTTCGCCGCAGAAGAACAATGATAATGGATCCCCGAGAAGGGCATGCATGTAGAGCGACTCCCAACCATTAAAACAAGAAGCACAATTGTTGGAAGGAACCCCTCCGGTGGCTTGAAGATGTTTGAAGCTACTTAATCTTACGCTTGTTCCAGAGATTTTCGCAGACCCAGTCTAGACACAAGCTATGTGTAGATATGGCGGCTATATGCGGCTATAGGCTAGTTACAGTGGTGTGCTGAGTGTAGAAACAAATCATCGCCCTCACAGTGGCCACTCCCGTTGTTCCCAAGCCATGTCGTGGCTCCTTACGCTTCTCGGATTCATGGTAGCGGCTTCTGCTACCGCTCCGCACTCGCTTGTGCAAGAGCGATGGCAGCGGCTGCCGCTCGGGGCGATCCGCCCGAAAGGGTGGCTGTTGACACAGATGACATTGCACCTGGGACTGTTAGTGTTTTTAAATGCCACGTCGGACCAGAATGAGGTTCTCAGCAGATAACCGGAACGGAGTGTTTTCCTTGGACATGATACACTGGGGTGGGGCCAGATGATTGTTGATGCAAGGGTCAAGAAATGGAGGAACTGCTGCTTGACATGGGCTGCGTCATCGCCACCCCGATTGGACAAATGCTGGTCTAGAGACATATAAAATGCAGTAGCGTGCTTCCAAACAAGTCACTCCTGTTTTGATTGAATTGCAAGGGGGTATTTGGGAGGTCCCTGTTTCTAACTTCTGATGTCGTCGATTTGGGCAGGGGAAAATGCTGGAACCTGTGAGGGAAATGGCATGAATCCAAGGCTCCTTTTGTGGAAGAAGTCGAGCCAAGGGAACTCCAATCCCATTGAAATGGCTTGCTTGGTTATGCTCAAGATGTCTCATCCAAGCTCCTGCTATCCGAGTCGCCCATTGGGGGTGGCACTGCCAATTGTTGAACCCCGCATAACATATTACATTTGCATGTACATGCGCATGTGCATACCTACAATATATCATATAATCTCAAGTGCTTGAAGTTGTGGCAAGATATGGCAAGATAGCAAGAGTATAGAGAGTGCTGACCCTTCTATAAACTCGACTATTGTCGGCAGTGATTTGGGAGCCAGATTCCCACGATTCCTTGAGATTGTATTTTCAGATAGGTTCAGAGGATGTTTATGATCGAAGAGCCCAGAAATACAGAGAATGAAGGACGGTACATGCCGGATCCTCACCCAGAAAAAATATTGGAGGACATGACATTTGATTCGAATTCAAGAGCTCCTTAGAGCATCTCGGTATACGCATCGATTTGGGTGGGTAGGCCATGTGTCTCTACGCCTGTTCCATGCATGCATTCTTTGTTTGGTTCCTTTTGGACCTGCACTTTGAAAAAGAAGCAAGGGTGGGGCTCCAGGGAGAATACTGGTGCCAGTATACCCAAACAATACCCAAGCAATCCATGTATGGAGTATTTACCTACATTGGAGTGGTTTCAGGGGTGTCAATGTATAGATAAATATTTATATATATATATCCGTATGTGATATGATATATCCTAGTCAAGATTGGCAATGATTTGACATCAAATTCTTACTGGGCATTCTGGGGCAGGTTCTGAATCTCATCGGTGCTTCTGATTCTCTTCATGGGCAATCTACAATGCCCATCGCAAACTGACGTATTGTGGCACTTTGCACCTTCTGCCGTCCATGTCTATGTTGTTTAGCTTGTTGGCACAGAGCCCATGCTTGTTCGAGTTCACCAAAACAAAATCATTCGGAACTTTGAGAAAGTGCTCCTTCCCACATCCCTTGTGCCGTAGGTAGTGCCGTCATTAGGTGTCATGTGTCATGCGTAGCGTCGAACAAACATGTCGTGGAATCTCGACCCTCCAGGCAGTCCAAAGCGCTGACGTCCCACCTGCCGCTGTTCTGGCCCAACATCGCCAACACCTCCTGGCTTGGTGGCTTCGCAGAGGCTCGACTGTCAATGGCCACGATTCCGAGATTGGGGTTTACAGGTAACAGGATTGGGCACTCTTTGAAACTCAAACAAGGACACGATATTTGAGTACTACTCAGACTCACGAACCGCGCTTTATTCCCCCAGCTTCTTTTTCTAGTTAACTTTTGGCGCGTCCGGATCGTCTTGGAGAAACATGAGATGGTGATTTGCTTGTAAACCTCTGTTAACGGAACTGCTTTTTTCACTCAGGATGTGGATGGGGGGATTCACGAGAACACGCCGTACTGGCTCAACGGCGCTGTACCCTTGGCGGTTCAAGTGGAGGATGAAGAACTGATGAAAACAGTGGAACAGATGCTTGGATGGATTTGGATGGATGGTGTGGAGCTGGATTGGTTGTGAGATGTTGTGAAACATGTAATACGAACCAGCCATTCAGCCAACAAGAAGAAGGGTTGGGATAGATGGACAAAGTATAAGGATGACCTATCTCACATGCATTTTCCAGTGCGCAAGCACCTACATAATCTATATAGTAAATTGTGCAAAGTTTGATCCCCCTTCCCTGGCCAAAGCTTGAACTTGGGGACCATGATCGGTGTGTGGACCACTTGCTGCACGAAACTCTTTTTGCTATTGTTGGCAGCCTAGGTGGGCATGTTTTGCTTCTTCTCCACCTTTGCTGTAGATCCTCCAGCCATTGGCACCAGGATATCCCCATCCAATCGAATCACATCAATGTGGGCCTCGCACCTCTTAAACCCCTTGTCCCTGATAAGCACACTTGGCCGCGCAGAGCTTTGAGGTACTTCGAGGGCATCTTCACCCGCCAAGGCTCCGACGGGTGGTTGGGGCCGGACACGGAGGCTTGGCGTGACCGGAAAACGTCCCGAAATGACTTGATGATCAAAGTACAAAGAGCTCCAGTTGGCTAGCTTGGGGACTAGCTTGGGATATGTTGGACCCGGTCTACTTGCTCGTGAGTCTTGACCCATATATAATGCAGTATAGTGTGCGGTAGTTATGTGGGATGGGCGACGCTCACTCGCGATCATTCTAGAGAAGTATAGAGAAGTGTTTGTTCGATCCCTGTGGATGGAAACTCAATGAAGTTCATCAGTCCGGTGTTTGTGAAGCTGTCGTTGATCCAAATAACATAGAGGCCCAAATGAAGCAGGATCATCCGAAGCGATCAGTCGATGTCATTCGCTACCGCGCTGTGTCGTCAGCAGATTCCTCCAGATTCCCTCAACTCATCTCAATTCTGGATGTGCCCATATGTACCCCACGGCCGCGCCAAGGATCGGTCGGATTTCTGGTCGCGTATCCCCTTCATGCTGGCTTTGGCGCAGTACCACGAGCCTTTGAAGTGAAGGTTGGGAGCAGGAGAAACATTTTGGAGAACCTTAGTTTGGTGCACATCTTCCTATTTTTTGGAGGACCAAAACGCTGGAAGTTGTTTTTTTCTTCTCACTCGACTCCGTATCGGCAAGGAATCCTTGCCGGAGGGACACCAACGTTCACGTTGCGCCTCCGTGGCACATCGTTTCTTCACGGCGGTGGGGCAACGGCTTGAGGAGCAGCCACTGGCGTTTGGTCAATCACAGCGGCCAGTGACCTTTTCGGTTTTGGCACCTGAAAGAGGTTGTGCTGCACTCTTCATCGAGGCCCAACAAAAGATAACATTGGATCTGTAATTATAGGACATTATAGGACGTCATTCTTTAGGTGCAACATTATCAGTAGCATTTAGAGGCTGCTCCCCCCGATTCCAATCCTCATTGGAGCTGCAGGAAGGCGTGCAATTGGGATCTTGGTCCTCCATGAGGGCTCATGATTTGACCCGCGGTGGCACGTGAGCAGTTGTTGTCATATTTGCTCAAGAGCATGTTCCTTTACAAACAGGCCAGTGGCCATTCTTCGTTGTTAATGAGCCCACAGGAGATGTTTTTTTTGGTATTTGAGATGCACCAGCCCTATAGCTCTTGGACGGTGCGTGTTTCCAAGTCGCTCTCAGGATTTGGTCCATCCACTACTTTGCTGCCCTGCTTCCGGCCAATTCGTCCTTCGCTCATTGGCTTTTGGACTTGGCCAAACGTTTGCATGAGGCTGCATTCCAGTGGAACGAAACCTGCCCGCAAGCCCAGGATGGTTTTCGGAACATTCCGGAAGATGTTCTGCCATTCTAAGACCGTCTTTGATTCGGTCCGCTGTCCGCAAATCCAACAAAACCGACCAAACCCCAGGGCCATGGACCTCGCTGTCCGCTCGTGGATGCCTCCCATGGCCCACTGTCCGCATGAGGAGCAGTGGTTCAACAGCAGCGCCTTCGCCACGGCGCCGGTGATCCTGGACTCGCTGAAGACCCACGGCGTGAACAATGCCCAGGCCGTCAAGCACGGCGTGGTCTGGGCTCGTCAGAGCGGCGAGGTGCAGCAGGGCTTTGCCGAGTGCCTCGCTGTTGCAAGCGATGGGATGATGGGAGATGAGATGGGATGTAGGGAGATGATGAGGTGGGAGATGTATACCTAGAAGATCCTTTGGGCAGAAATTCTTGCCTTTTTCGGGAAGAGCGGCTCTTCCCGTCCTGGGGCGGAAATCAGCTGTTTGCCGCGGAAATGTTTTTGTTGCCGCGAATATTCCCTTTCAGGAATCCAGTGGGACAAAGACTACATATTCTAGAGGAGCTGAATATCTTTGTGGTTTACATTGGGCATTTCTGCCTGGAACAGTCACCGCAATGAGAAAAACAATTTGCAGCGCTTAAGTTGCCACCTCCACCTGTAAATCTGGCTACCATCACATCATATAGGTGTCTTTGCTTTTGAAGGTTTCTTGTGCGGAATGATCACAAAAGGACTAAAATCAGTCTAAAGTTGAAAACACCTGGCGCGAAAATGCCCGTGAAACACGCAGAAATACCCGGGAAAGAGGCGGAAATACCCGGGAAAACGGCGGAAATACCCGGGAAACCGGCGGCAATTTCCTGGTATTAGGCGGGATTCAAGAACAGTGCCTTTGATGCCTTTGAAGGGCTTGAACATATGTCGCAGCCTCTTTGTGAATGTCATGAATTTAGAAGGTGTCAGATCTTGAGATGTGAAGCTATGCAGAACGGTATGTGGTCTGCAATCATGGAAGAGACAACCTGGTAGGTTGTAATGGTTTTTGAGTTGCTATGTTGGATTTTGCTTGAGGCAAAAATTCCCTGCTGCCCGCGGAAATTCCTACCTGGCGCGGATTTCCCCTAAATCCGCGAATCCTCCCGGGCAAACCGGACTGAGGCAGAAATTTCTGCCCCAGGTGCTTCTAGGTATAGGATTATATAGGGCTTTTCTTGAGGAGAGAGTCCGGGACAGAATGTCAGGCCACAACACCGTCCTGCCCGGATGGTGGCCTGAATCACGATGAATCCCACTAGTTCCTGAAAACTGCCTTTTTGGCACAACTCTGTGTTGTCGCAAAAAGACCATCCAATCGCCAAAATGTTCGGTTTGTAAATATGAAATCATCCAATCTGAAATCATCAGACATTTTTCAATCCTATTGTCGCCAATCCAATCCAGGGAGACTAGTATCAGATTCTGGGTCCGTTTTCAGCGACTGACATCTGTAGGAATCTACTGGCATACGCATGAAACTTATGCAGCAGTTATTACCTTTAGGACTGGCTACCGCAAATCGGAACACTAGCGGAAACACAAAGAAATGCGATTCAGCAACAAACCATCATAAGATCAAAACAACAACATCAGCCATTTGCTAGCCACGCTCTCCAAGTGGCTTCAGACGGTTCCACACTGGTGAGGTCCTGGTTGGCCTGGTCCCAGCTTCAGCGCTTCCACGGTCAGCCGCACGGTGCCTTCAGCGCGGATGAGCACCTGGCGGGCACCAACCCCTCACGTGGGACGGAGCTTTGTGCTGTGGTGGAGGCGAAGCTGATCGGAGCACCCCCAGCTGCCGCAGCTCATTTGGTGTTCAATTGCAATTCCAATCTACCAGGATTCGATGGATGCCGTTCCAGCTTTTGGCTCGCGGCTAGCGGCGCTCATGTGGAAGAACCATGAAACGCTAAGGAAGCATCACTTCCATCCTCACTTCGCCCAACTCCCCGAACTCCCCAACTCAGGCCGCTCTTGCAGGGCCCTCAGAATCAGACCGAACCCATGACATATTTGCAGATAGAAATGGATGTTTTTTTGTTTTCGCCTGATTGTAGTGGAACATCATTGTCCAGGTAATGATAGTATACGGTAGTTAAGTACGGTAAGTAGTGGTGTCGTGTATACCTCTTCCATGCGGGTCGTTGGTTCGTCGGGTCCTGGCTGGCCGCAACTGACGGAGCCACCCAACGACCGGAGCCACCCACCCAACGGACTGACGGAGGCCATGTGGTCCTTGCTCCTCACCGCGCAATTGGCGCCCAACGACCGGAGCGCTGTGAAGCCTTTGGACGCTCTGGAGGCGAGGACCAGGTGGAACTGGTTCTTGGGAAGAAGTATATACGATTCTGATGTGCACTACTTCTCTAAAGGCCTATGATCAGCAAATATGGGTCGGAAGGAATCATTGTCTAAAGCAAATTTCATGGATTGATTCTTCCACTTAAACCCTGCAGATTCCCATTTAGGGGTGCCGGAACACCGGCCTGGCCCAGGGTGCGTGAAATCACAATTCATTGACAACTTGACAATAGGTCGCTTGTTATGCACCAAAGTGCCAGACACCATAGCCCTGCTAGGCTGTATGCCGGCAGATCATTCCTAGAAGGGCAATCGGAAGATACTTACCAAATCTTCAAAAGGCTCAAGAATGCTTCACTTGCCTCCTGAATTTCTGCCACGAGCTGTGCAAGTTGCGTATTTTCATTGGTGAGGTCTTGGCCTACAATGCCCTCCCTGGTAGCTTGAGCGAAGATTTATGGAGCCACCCCTACTTGCAGCTGGCCAATTCCTACCAGGCCCTTTCCCACGAGCGCCTCGGCTGCCTTGGCACTACTAGCTGGTTGAAAGCACTGTGGTAGGGGATTGCATGGGATTGTCCTGTGCCGATGGTAGATAGAGTATGATCAACCCTTCAGCATTTTCTGTCGCATTGAAGAACCTCAGTTTTGTGGAGGGCCGCTCCTGTCAGCTATTTATTGCCCTTTTCTCAGGACAAGGATCCAGGTGCCTTTTCCTTCCGGCTAAGCACGCCAGGCCTTCTATCACCCACGAGGTCCATCCAACTGCGGGTTCAACGAGGGAATACTCCAAACATCGTATGTTCCGACCCACCACTTGTTCCCTTCTGAGAGTCTTCACGCATGTTTGGCGGTCCGTTTTGTTTCTGACAGTTTCCTTGTTGAAGAACTGTGGGATATCAGCCATTCTTGATGAAGGAGCTTGGATTGCCCTCCAAAAATATGTCACTTGGTGGTGCTAAGTTCCGTAAACCAAAATGCGGGGCCCTTGATATGCCAGCGGCCCCACTGGGCCCCACACCGGCCCCACACCTCCTAAGCTAACTCGCTCGAGTGAGGGTGGACCATGTGTGGACACATGATGGGCCCGACTCAGCGATGTACGGCTTGGCCCCGAGACTTGAGAGAGTGGTTGGATCCGAGGAATGGTTGGATCGGAATAGGACTGGAGGAGATGTTCAGATTTGGTGTTAGTGTTAGAGCCCCCAAGAAATGAGCCGACTGGTGGTTTGTTCATTGGTATTTGGGAGCTGCTGCAGCTGCTGGATTTTTGGGAGTGGGACATCATTCAACTTGGCGTTTCTTTTGGAGGGGTCTCCTTGGGCTGCCACGGGGCATGGCCTGCCAGGAACAGTTTGCAGGGGCGGTCTCCCAGTTTCTACTTTAGTTTGGGACATGTTTTCGTTCCCGTTTGAGTCTCGGTGCGGATGGAACATCATGCTTCCTGTCTTGCTGGTAGGAATTTGAAGGGATTCGGTGTCCAAGCTGTGTGAAGAAGTGCAGAAAGGCCTGATCCATGACACTTCAGCAGAAAGGGCTTCAACAGATTTCTAAAACAAATGGATCTGTCTTCTACACGTTGCGTTTGCACATAAAAGTGAGTCTTCATGTTGATTCATGCAGGAGACCCTAATCATCGATCCAATGCCTTTTCGAAGTTTGATCAAAGCGATGCTCAGTCACCAAGAAGACCAGGCAACTACTGGCCGGCGCCCAGATGCGCTTTTTCGTCTGTCGTGCCGATGCCGACTTGCTTGCCTCGTTCCTCGCGGCCAGCTGAGGAATTACCCGTGCTGCACCTCCAATTTCCATCAGGGTTATCCGAAATTTGCCGCGAATTTGTTCTTTGAGTCGCCTGAAACAAAGGAGACTTGCAGATTGATTTCAGGCGGAGTTGGTTCCGGTCAGAAGGAATCGATGGCACTAATTGAAGCCCCAATTCTGGAACAGATGTTTTTGTTGGGAATGGGCCTGTTTGTCGCAGGCTACCAGGAATTTGAGGCGAGGCGAAGATGGTGCCCCTTCGCGTCCTGGAAAAGCTGTTGATGGATCATCATGGATCCACAGATTCACTCAAAGTTCCTTGCTAAAGCAGCAGCCTCAATACAGTGCTCAAACGTATGGGGATTGATTGGGTGTAGTTTGGTGGGATCACACTTCATAGCAGCACGGCCTCCCTTTGCACACCAACATAATTCTACTGTGTATATACGTATTGAGATAGCAGGTGAGTGCTTGACTTCATGATCTCAGTACCCCGAAAAGTTAACATTGCAAATACCTGTGAGAGGCTGTGAGAGGAAAGTCAACTTCAAACCGACTGGAAAATAGTGGACATGAGTTGGCATGTCAGGGGCATTTAAGGAGGATGCATGAGTATGAGTCTGATGTTAAAACATGATCTAAAACCCACCCCCAAAAAACACCTCAAGCTACCTAGCAGGGTCCTTTTCAAGCCGAGTGGACACATGTGTGTCCGCTCCAGGAGATCATCTCAGCACTTTGGGCTCCTAGCCTGGCGCGTTTCTCCCACTTGGGCGCCCAGATCGAGTTGAAGACGGAGCCTTGCCGCGCGTGTTGTTTTCACACCTCCACTCGCGGTCGCTGGCGAGTGGGGCATGTTTGATCAACATGACTCATGACTCATGTATACTCATGCTTTTACTTGATATACTCTATTCAATACAATGTTGTACAATTGTTTGGTAGTATCTTTTAGTCGCATAGTAAATATTTAAACATATTTAAACTGATTGTTACTAGTAATTGCTAAAACATCATGTATTTGTCATGTTCAAAGGTTGGCAAGAAAAGTGAACATATTTTCACCCAACCTTTTGCACATCATCCTATCTATATATGCATATTATATATAATATTATATACTTACATCATTTATTACTAATGTTCATCCAATACTCATGCCTTCTTTCAAAAACACGAGTTTATTGTTGCAAATATTCAAATTCAAACAAGTCCAAACTAACGAGATTTAATCCATATGTCAAAAGCAGTGTGCTAAAGAACACATTTCAACACAATCAAAGAAACTGTAATATTACAATGTGATATATATAATATATATATATTTGATAAGTCGCTTCAACCACAAGTTTGTAAAATATAATGGTTTCAAGTTTAACACACCAGGTTCTATTCTTCCAACAGCTAAACATTGAACACACATAGATCTAACAGTATTTGACACGTTATGCTCAGTCTTGAACAGCCATGATTATTTCATGTCAGGTCCACGGTCCATGGTAACAAATTTTCCAGACATTGGGGCCAAACCATTCCATGAAAACCATGTTGAGACAAGACTACAGTTGACATGAGGGTTTGCAGGTCATGAGTTGTTGACGACGCCTCCGTCCAAGCGCATGTTCCAAGGACTATCCCTTCAATGCCGGAGTTGAGTATTGGATTCAAAACGAGGCTGTCCCGGACGGGTCGGGGGAAAGGGGCCTGGAGGCCGGGTGGCGAATGAATATGAGGAATTGTGGAAAGCAGTTGCCTGAGTTTTAAGTTGTCTTTTCTTCACTGGCGCATTTATATAACCTCGGAGAGGGTAGATCATCAAGTGGCCAAAAACCCCAAGCCAACATCAACCAAAAGTAGCATTGCCACATCTTCCCAAACATCTTCCCAAACTGGATAGTTAGCAGGTTATTGGTTCATTTGGTGCCTTCTCAGCACTCTCATGAATCAGAAGACTCACCCCTCAACCCATCCCATGGTCCCAGGAACCCTTTCAGCTGACCATCCGACTGCCGCCTTTCCTCCGGGACGACCCCTCGGCAGCGGCCTCCCTCCGGGTGACGCTGGAGGGACGAACCGTGAACCGTACCGTTGTGGACGGATTCCTACGGGTGCAGGTGACTTCGAAGGCGCGGGCCAGTGAGGGCCAGCGAGTTTGTGGGTTGGATTCTTCGAAGGCGTTGGATGATGCAAACGATTGGTTTATACACATGGTAGACGCTCAGGTCCTGGAAGATCTATAGCCCAGCTATGATCACATTTTCAGAGCAAGGGCCAGCACAAAACAGAGCAGAACGCGTCCCTCCGACACCAACTTGCTGCGGAAAAAGCACATATCCGTCGGTTCCGCATCCGAGACAGGCGGAGCGCCCACGCTTGGCCGTGAGATTAGACTTTGCGTTGGAACCAAGGGTGTCTCGTTCATCGGAGGGCAGTACTGCAGCTTGGCAGGACATTGTATTTTGAGATGTGGTTAGTAGTTGGAATCAAGATTCTAAAAGGGCATGTCAATGATCATCCATACACCTCAGATTCCATCGTGGTCTATTTCCTTTTCGATTCACATGATTGCCCCATATATTGCAGACCCCCAAAGATTGGGATGTTTGGGCCAAAACACACCAAAACTCGTACCTTTGAAACTTGTCAGTTTGTTTTGTGACAAAGTCTTTGGTCTTTCGATGGACATTAGGTACACGTGGGCCCGCTGCTAATGGCCTTGGACCTGGCAGAGGAGAGAAAAGAGGTGAGGCGTCATGTGGCTTGGTGCTTCCATCAGCACGGACACTTCACAGCTGGGGGCTAGAGGCCTAAAGTCTGAGGAAACCAGGGCAACTCATTAGGCTTCGGCTTCACATAGAACCCACAAGTATTCAAACAGAAATGTATATTTGCACATATATATAGAGAGAGATGTTTCATTGCGGATTATATATATAATATGTAAATTACTGGTTGTTTATATTGTGCATATGTGCAGAGAGCATTGAAATGCTCATGCTGTTGCAAAGTAACAACTGAGGCCTTTGAGGCGGCAGATTGGGATACCTTCACGCGGAAGTCTTGGCAAGTCGCTTTGCCTGAAACGCCCCGCTTTGGTGACGTAAGGCGGCCTGACGCGTGAAGGGAACTTCGGGGCAGGCTTGCTACAGCGAAGTGAAGGTCAGCTGCAACCATTTTGGCAGCATGCACACCCTCCAAGCAGTGGTGACATGTGGTGACTGCGATGAAGATCCATCACGCAAGTTTAACAACGCGCCACTGACACCCGTTTTTTCTATGTTGTTCTTCAAGCACATGCAACATGCATGAATGGTTTGATCACTACACACTGCATGTGTTTTTCGTCGCCCGCACCAGGCACCGGTCCTTCGACCTGCCGCCATTGCCGCACGACGCCGCGCGCTGCCCGCTGGCGCTGGAGGCCGAGCTCGTGGGCGTCCGGTGGCCGGCGGAGCACCAGGCGCCGGCCGCGCCGCCGGAGGCGCTAGTGCCGGGACAAGCTGCGCGCAGCAATCGGAGCCTGGGATGAAAGATGATGAAAGACATGGAGATGAAGGCGTTGTTGTTGTTGTTGTTGTCATTGTTGGGGGTTTGATGCAGTGTTTGCGTGGACTATCCTGAAGCTGCAAACCTGGTAATGTGGGTTGACCTGGATGGGTTCAGAGTGGCTCAGTAGCTTTGTTGTTATTTGTTTTGAATGGTCACCCTGCAGTTCAGCGGCTGGAAACCCAGGCTCTCAAATTACCACCCAGAAACCCAGAGTCCATGCTGCTTATAATCGAACCATGTCGATCTTAGAGTGGCTTGGCAAAAACAGGACCCTCACTTAAACTTAAACACTATAGTCATAGTGCCCTGGAAAAGGAAAGAAAAAGATCATCAATGGAATCCTGGTAGGGTGTGAGCCGGATGACACTGACATGGCATGACTAGCCCGTTTGCATCAAGGTGACACCGATATACACCGCACCAATAACTTTGTTCACCACCCTGCCCCAAGCTGGAGTTTTCTGGCGGGGTGATGATTTGGAATTTGATTGGCATGTTTCTGGCGACCTGCTCAGCGCATATTTTGGGTATGGTATATTTTGGGTATTGGTTGCGATGTTTGTAAGATCAACTTGGAATGTTATGAGCCTGGTGTGGGAAATGATTGGCCACAGGAAGATGCACTTCTGATTAAAACCCTTCAATCGAATTGTCAAGGCCACCACTCGGGTTGTGAAACCTGTCTACCGAAAGCTGGCTGGAGACCACACCACTGATTGGATACAGGGCAGTGCCTGCGCAAGTCAGGCCACTGGAAATGTGTCTTTAGGTGGGCATGCTTCTTCGCACAGTGTCACAGCTGCTAGCACATAAGGTGCAATTGGTAATACAAGTCTAGGGTCTTTATGAGTGCTAATTGGTTCGTGGCACTGCTTCTAAGGTGCGGATATTAAGGTGCACATGGCAATATAATCCACCACCCACCCCTGGAGTGGAAAATGGGCGGACGAGATTCATTGCATTGCTTTCGGGGTTTGCCAGCCCCGTGCGAGCGCACGCCTTGGGGTCTTGCTTTCGGGTTCATCGAGAGCCAGCGAGGGGGGCTTCACGAGGGTTCTCGTTGGAAAGCACATATCATAATGTAGTCCCTTGATTTATAAACCCCCCCCGCCCCCCCCTCAACAACCAAGGCCTCCAAAATAATGTATAAGAAAATCAATCAATTGATAATTAAATAAGGAATCCTTAGCTAGCTACCTCTGGAGCTACTCTGGCAATATTAAAATAAAAGGAATCAAGAAACCTAACTTTGAAGACATCTGGAATATTAATTACTATAAAAGGGAATGAATCAATGGAAATAGAGCTAACTGTTTCAATGGAAATCTGAATCCAAAGACCTGCAATTTCAATGGTAAGTAGAGCAAATCAAAAGGCAAAGAAAAGGAATAAAGATTTAAAGCCTCAAATCTCTAGACATTATTCTAGGGCCCCCCCCTAAATAATGTCAGAAAGCTGCTTGCTGGACTACCCCGTCTACCCCCTTTGCTTGAATGATTTCTTTGTTTTTCAATACTTTTGAATAAGGGATTTTATAAAGAAAGTGCGCACTGACTTTTGGAAACTTTTGGAAAGCTTCAAAACTAGAGAGCTTGGGAAAAGTTAATAAGGAATAGAGGGTGAGTAAAGCAAATCAAAAGGGAAAAAGTAAACTATAACATTCCACTACAACTACCCCTCCCCCCAAAAAAAATACATTATTCTAGGGGGGTTTATAAATCTGAGGGCCACATTATGCCCGATACCAAATTGCCTTAACAAGCAAGAACCAAGTGTTCATTGGGGTGACCCCAAGAAATCCAAAAGGCCTCAACAATTTAGCAGGTACCAGTTAAATTCCATCGATGGGCTGAAAAGAAAGACTACTTAAACCGACGGAACCTCGGACGCATCTCCGCTTGTGAGGACACTTCTGCCATATGCGTGCACAGCGATTCGCATTTCCGCTTTTCCGCAGCAGTCGACGGAGTCGAGCAGATGGATTTGAGGCTGAGTTGAACCCACAGTGCGTGCATAAAATCAGCCACTGTACCAAGACCATTGTCGTGAAATTAGAGTTAGATTCCCACTGTACCAAAAAGTGACGCACATGTATTGAGTGTGCCCTGCTTGTGTTGCTGGTAGGAGGTGCAATAGTCAAACCTAGGCTAGGATACTGCTGTGTGAACCTTTTGTACGTATTCTTCTCGACCCATGGTAGACATGCCTTGGCCATCCTTGGCCAATGATTTGTTTCGCGGGCGCCAGTTAGCAGACAGATTCCTCAGTACAGCAGCCACAAGTGCTGAGCGCAGGAATATCACAGTGCGAGCATCAAGGCTCAATGTTCCTAGAGATGTCAATGCTAAAGGGCAGCGGCTGAAAATCTCTTCAAAAAGGGCTAGGACATGATAGCGGTACAGGATCAGGACATTCCGCTAAACTTGCGTTGCGAGTTGTTTAATGTTGTTTCATTATGTTTCATTTCAGGACGTTCCCCCAGTTGTGCTTACCGTCCACATGAAACATCTCTAAAAAATCGATCAACCAATGAGAGCAACAAGTGAAGCTGAGGCGGCGAGAAATTGTGCCGTCGTGGTGTGCAGTTGCAAGGTTTCACCCGAGTGGTTCAGTGCATTGACCAACAACAACTTTAACACATACGGAATAATCACGACATATCATGAATATATTGTACAATATTCAGGATGTGTCAAGCATAGTGTTTGAGAAATGGGCGATTTTGAAGCTAGAATTGATGTTTGTGCGTTGCATGACCTAAATTTTGACTGGATACACGGACAAGGTGCAGAGATAGCTATAAGCAGACAGGGATATATATACCCAAGGGAGTGCCCAAGGGCTCCAAATACATGTGAAGATCTCCAAAGGTAGCGCACCGAGTGAGACCTCAGTCACCCAGTCAGTGCCCAACCTCGCTCACAGAGCTCACATCATCCGGGCTGGCTCGCAGGAGTCCCGTCCAGATCATTGGACTGTTTTTGTCTCAGTTTTCTTTGGCTTTGCTTTTAGCACAAGGACCACCAGATTCCTGGGCCACCAGCTGAAAACTGAGCGAAATGATGCTCGACACATTGCCACCACCAGCTGAACTGATGCGTTGCACCACAACCTTGATTTGTTCATGAACGCGGCTTTCTCAATCTTTCTCAACAAGGGGCAATTTCCTCAACAAGGGGCATTGGCACGTGGGGAAGGCCAGAAATGCATGTTGTTTCACTCGCATGCATCAAAGTCCATCCACACTGCTGCGTTTCACGTTTCTCACATGAAGCTTTCAGCAGCTTACCGCTTTCGTGCCCTGAGGCCGAGCATGCCCAATCCTTAAAGCCCGAGGCGTGGTCATCCCAGTTATCACCCTGTGGAGTCAACAAATTTCCAGGCGCATTTGTTGTTTAGAGGATTTGGGTATTGGTGGGTTGTCCTTTTTCTTTTGGGGGGGCATGAACTAAAGGCGCCAGTATGTTCCCACTATATTAGATCTTCGAGATCGAAAGCTTATAATGTAACTGTTGCTCCAGCAGGGGGATCACTTTGGTCACATGAAAGCAGAGGGAAACATGCCAGTGCAAAACCTCCTCAAAGGAACATGAGATTGATTTGGATATATAGTTTTGCATGTTGCGGCGACATAGAGTATGATTCTTCAATCTCGGCCAACTCATACGAGCCGACTCAGCTCAAAAAGATCCCTCGTGATTGATTGACCATTCCACCTGAGCCTCGCCCTGGCTGACACTTGGCTGCACATTAGAGGTTGTCGTGTTCACCTTGCTTCTTCAAAACAATGTCCTCTACACTGAACATTACATCATGTCACCATATATGTTCCTATCACGTTTCACCAGTGTTCATCCAACTTGTTTGAGATCGCAATTGCAGATACGAATTCTTCTGGCAATGCTCACAAGAGCTTCCCCTTTTGATATTGATTTACCCCACAGGTCTAGACTCGACAGCAAGTTCTTAGTGTTGCACAGTCACCACTTGTTACCTTGTTCTGTCCATAGGCATGCGTTCTGAGTTCTCAGTACTTGTCAGGAAGGATGAAGGTCTGCAAAATCCTTGTGTTCCTGGCCATGATTGCCGCAGCAGAACGCGGCGCACATCGAGGCACGTCGCACAGCATTAGACTTCCCAGATCTTCCTGGCAAGAATTTGACTGCACCTCGTGCTGATGCATGCTATGATGAAGACGCGCGATGAACATCAGCATGTTCACAAAATTCACTTTCTATAGGCCGATGCCGCCTATAGCCAAATATCATAGACTGAAGCCACAGCCAGTGAACAGCTCAGAGACATGGACTAGCAGTGTGCCGTTTTATCTCATACTGTATATCGCCATGCTTTCAGATGAAGACGCCCTGCAAGTTGAGAAGGCCAATGTGTCCGACACTCAGCAACAGGAGCAGGGTGCACAATATATGCTAAATGCAGCACAGCTGACCTGCTTGCTTCAGCTCGGTCAATCGAAGATTGTTTCGTAGACCTGTTGAGACAGGTTTTGCCCCAAAGCAGGCTACGAGGTACAGCCTGCCTACAAAAGTTGAGACACATCATAGAATATCAGAATATCATAGATACATGTCGATACATATATATACATATCAATATTATTCTAATAGCTTCTTGTTACTACTAGTAAGGCCAGGAGCCCCGAACGTAGCTTCTTGCTCCTAGTAGTAAGGCCAGGAGCCCCGAACGTAGCATCCTTGCTCCTGGCCTACATATAGATACATGTCGATACATGGCACTTGCAGACGCCCATGGGACGCTTTCCAATATGCCGGACGACGAAACCTCGCAGGAGATCCAGTCACACGCAGAGACAGAGAAGCCGACTTGCTGCAGATGCGAACGCTACCTGGCTTAACCTACTCCCAGAAACCAGAGCAGAAATTAGGTGCAGGGCTTTGCGCGAGTGAGCGTTTCTTGGAGCTCATTGTTTGTGAATGACCAACAGGAACGCATGAAGCACCAACATTGAAGCAAAGAAGCAGACTGAATATCACGGGTGGCCAGACAGAACTATATATTACATAATTATGTGATTATTTATGTGCATGTATATAGTATGACAACAGTATGTTTCAATAGTTGCATGCTTATATCAAAGCAACAAGGCCGGTGTTTCCCTGATCGGCGACTGTTGATTTTTGTTTCGCTTCAGGACTGATTGCCAAGAAGGGCGGCATGTTCAGCAGCACGGTCTATGGCAAAGACTGCCAAGTTGGTACATCGGGCAAAGGAAGCAAGGTTTGCGGACCCACCTGTGCCGAGGACGCCGAAGGGCCAAAGCAACTTCACCGAGAAGATGAGGGTCTATATGAACCAACGACATTGGGGATTGTGCCATCTACTCTCCATCCACTATATAGAATGAATTAGAATATGTGTTTCACAAACACGTAGGTAATTGTGTCGCAGACCTTTGCCACGCTGAACGTAAAAATGACCCCCTGCTAGTGTAGGATGTTTGCCTATGAGCATTGCATATGTTTTGCCATTCATGAACGGATTGAGGTACAAGTGCTGGAAATGGAAAGCAGACCGCTTCTCCAAAACGGGCGACAACTGCAACCAATATGACGTGGAGTTTGCCAACTGACTCGTTCGAGACCTTTGAGCCTTTTAGTCGCCGTTCCTGGTTGCAACGCCAAGACTGCAGCAAGCTGAGAAAAAAGGGGGAATTCAGATCGGTCCAGCAGACAGTCATCCAAGTTCCAAGATGTTCTAAGGCATTCTAAGGACTATATAATGAATTCTTGGCCGGCGAGGGGATGCGAGGGGTAATTAGGGGTAACTGTTCTGAAGAAAAAAGGTTATATAACTCAGTGAACGCCAAGGGCCGCAAGGGGATCGTGACATTCAAGGGTCTTGTCAAAAAAATGCAAGGAGTCGTACGGGGTTGATGCTCCTGCTGTATTTGAGACTTAAAGTACATACATGTATATAAATGCAGGTAACTTAGGCAAGATGGATTTTGCAAGATTGAGGAAGACTGCAAAGACCCCAATCCGTGTTTCAAGGTCTTTCAAGAACGTGCCCATCCTCTTGTAAAAGCTGTGGAAATTGATGTCCACCTTTTGCAGGTCAAGGCGTTCTACAGTCTCCGCAGCACTGAGAAGTTGGATGGCTTGGTACAGGCCGAACTCCTCCGAAATCCGTCCATCAGCACTGAGAAGTGGAAAAGACTTCTTGCCAGGTGCACCTTCATACGGCTATACACGCGTTAACTTTTTGTTCCACAAGTCTCGTTAGCATTGATGTTAGTTGTTAGAGACCCCGGACGCACTTTGAGAGGTTGAGTATGTCTGAGTGCCGGGCGAAGGAGCGTTGTTTGGCCCTGGTAAGCTTTGTTTCTTATTTTGTTGTCAGTGAGCAGGTCACTAACATTGTCGCCTCAGGCAGTGTGTCACTACTTGACGGATCCAAAGGCAGGGTGGGAAGAGCGAACTTCGGCGTGGCTCCAGGTCAATATCGTCCGGGTGACGAAACGGGCAATCACCGAGGTGGGGCCCAAAAGAAATGACATCAACTTGACGTAGATCGATCACCCGGACAGGTGACCGAAAAAGATTCAGAACTCTCATTTAATTGTCGTATTCCAATGTATTCCATTCATGCGCCTGCATGTTGGTCCATCTCTGTGTTCATTTGCTCTTCTTCAATTGCTCCATCCCCAACCACCAACCCATTCATCCAACACCTTTGATCATCCGGGGCTCCACATGGCTCCACACCGGACCGTCGACGTGGTTGACTCGGTCTCACCGAATTGGGCACCTCAGCGATGCGCGTGGTCGGACTGGTAGGTGAAGGAACAGGTGCACAGCCAAGAAGATGACAACAAGCTGACCTTGGCAGCGGCTCCCAGGGGGGTGCTTGTGCCGGGCCGGGCCGTCGTTCGCTTCGGTATTTTTTGGCTTTATATATGTAATTCTTCTTTGTCAGGAGTTTCTGAAAGCCAGTCTGTCCGAATTCGTGTAACACATTGCTTTGCCCAAGCCAAATTCGGCGCCTGGGGAGTCTGGTGGGTGTGGTGGAGTCTTCGAGTGGTGCCCCTGAAACGACAGTGATTGAACTGCAGAAGTGAAATGGGGATCGGTACAAAATGGTCAAAACCTGGAGCCCTGGTCCACCATGTAGCTTGACCTCCCGCCGGTAGGTCTTCCTCAAGGTATCCTGGTGCCATGACCCACGGCCCAATTGAATCGGTATCAATTTGTTAGAAAGGCTTCATGTCACCCCTATTTGAGTGGAGCTATGCAGAGCTGCACCGTTGGGCAGCCTCTCAGCTAACCGCAGTTGCAATACTTGGAGCTGAAGGTATTTGGAACCCATAAATCTATAATGACTTGCAGTCAAACAGCCAGAGTATATATATATATACACACACATCGTCACATCGCAGATGTGCATGGGGCCCGATGGCCGGCCCAAATCGTGAGAACCGCTGCGGTGGGCCGACCAGCGTTCATTGCAGTGGACCACCAAAGCAAGCTCTTTTGTTTTGCTTTTCCTTTGGCTTTTTTTAACGGTTAACCGTTCGTTCAACTCCATGTGCACATTGAGGCAGTGATCCAAACATTGCAACTTCTCATTCGCTTCGGCTTCATCAAATCCTTCCAGCTGCTTGGCCGAGATAGAGCGTGAGAGGACGACCAAGCAAAAGCGGGTGCGACTAGGATTCAAACACAACGTGCACATTAGTGACTAATTATACATTTATAAATATAGCTTTGCAGACCTCACCCACAGATTTGATTTTGGTCGAAAATACTATATATACATATTGTGGCTTTTCTTATTGAGATGTCCTTGGTCTCACCCTGAGCTAGCTGGCCAGATCTTTAGACCATTTGAAGGATGAACGATAGACTCCGATAGACCATTTGTTCTGTTCCGCACCGCCCCACAGTGGCACTCGTTGCCATGTGGTTGGAGTTCATTCGAGCATGTTGCACAGCAGTGAGTGGTGTCCACTCACCAAACCTACTCTCCTTCCAAGAATCATGCGTCCGTGGAACACGGCTTACACTTACTTGTCCTTCCGGGGAAGGACCATGTATTTGAAAGGAAAATGGAGGAAGTGGTCGTCCACTTCCATGGTTTGTTGCAAGGGTCCGTCCCTGGCAGGGTCCGTCCGTCCAGGACCTGCGTCATGTTGCACACCGCGCTCGTGCAGATCCTGGACGGCCGTCCGAGCGCCCGGACGGAGGCGTTGGACGCAGCACCCGTCATGATGCGACAAAGACAGGACGAGGTCAACAAGGATGGAGTTCTGCCATCAAAGAATATGAAAAACATCATGAACACATTGTGAATAACAGCCAAATGATGATCAAATGTAAAAGTAACAATTCATCAAATTCCAGTCCCTACCTCACTGATAGAGTACCGAGAGTACTCAAGCATTTGATCATTATCATTGCACCCTTTTGGCCATAGACATGCAACATGACATGGTCACGAACAGATCCATTCCGCATGTCTTTGTTAATGACCGGCCCTGTAGTAGTACAGCCCCTTCACCTTGGGCCTTGATATCAGGTTCGCACCTGGCACAGGCTTGTGAATGATCTCATTTGGGGTGACTACAAGATGTGTGGTGCCAAGAGATTTGGAGGACCACATGTTGCAAACCTCCACTGTTTCCGTGCTTTTCCCAGAGGGCACCATGCCACGTCACAAGGGTGTTTGCCTTGCATCGCCGCACGGGGCGTCTATCCGACACACCGGTGTTTCCAAAACAAGGCTCGGCTGGTCACTGAGGTACCGATTGGCTGGACCCGACACAGGTGGGACGTGGGGAGGTAGGGGGGAGCCGTCGCTGCCCACATCCCCCAAAAGGATCATGTGTACTATTGTAGACTCTTAGTACAGCCAACCGCCTCATATTGGGGGGGTGAATAATAATCCTGATTGGATCACACTGATGTGGGCAAGCGGCACGTGCACGTTGTGACTTGTAAATCAACACCTGTTGTTCCCCCTTCGGGGTTCCAATATTGAATGACCTAGAGATTTTGTTACACGCTGCTTTAGATAACTCGCACGGGCTTCACATTCTTTCAATTGCACTGATTATTTTTGTTTCAGGATGTATTATGTATATGCTTTTTTGCTGCACCTCAGCACTGCAACATAGCACTCTTAAACTGGGCTTAGGGATGCAAACTGTAGTACTCAATGTCAATGTTCCCAACCCCTAACTTGGGTATCTTAGGGCCGATGATTCAGCATGGTACTCGTAAGCAGAACCTTACCCGACGACTACGGCTGCTTGCTGATAACAACATGCCGACTTGTTCTTGAACAGAGTAATTCCCAGTAATACTTTATCAGATGAAATCATCCTCCAGCAAGTGGGACACCATGTGGATCATGTCCTGTTCTATGTCTTGGGGCGCCGCACAACCATCATTTGTAATACTTTAATATTTTGTCGTCAGAAGAAAAGTCTGTCACCCAGACATTGCTTGCGTTTCGCTGGCACGTGAGGTTCATGAGGATCATGTGGATGAGTTCAGTTAAGATTCCGGCTGGGCCGAGCTCAGAAAAGCTGATTTACACTCCGGAGGTCACAAAGCTTGTCCCTGTTTGTAGAGGAAGAGTGTCTTCCAGGGATTCATGTTCCATGTGTGCGAGTCGGAGGGTAAGCTGAAACTCATTGCAATACGACAATAGCCTTAAAACTGCAAACATAGCTTTAAAGGCAGCCGTGAAACGACATGTGCTCACCATGACATTTCCACCTATCACTATTTATAAAGTTAATCAAATAATTGCTCACAGGGCCTAACCCCACGACTTCCTGATTATAGCTATCGTTTGGGTATTGTGCAGCATTTTTGGCGATTGCCCCTTTTTGTTGTTCTTGGTTGCTTTAACTAGCATCTTTGAGTAGCCTTCACACCTACTAGATGTACTTTGCTCACTTATGAAAGCTTCCACATCAATGAACTCTAGCTGATGGCCATGGGCTGTGCTGTTTGTGCCGAAGACTATGGCCGATCAGGCACCTCGGAGTGCGCAGGTGTGAACTATATAGGTGGCACGGTTGGCCCGTCCGCTTTGTTCATGGAATCCTCGAGGCAGGGGGTGCATCCATCAGTCGGAGGACTGTATGCACCTTTTGACTTAGACACCCCAACATGAAACATCAAACCGCAAACACATTGGGATTCATATCATTATCCTGTATTTCAAAGTCTATTGCAAGGAAGACTTTGGAATGGCTATGGGTTGCAACCAGATAATGAGAGTTGTCCCTGTTAGTGTGTTTGAGTCGGATATAGTACGATTATAGTATATATATACATATTGTCGGTTGGTTCAGTTCACATCCTTGACTTCAATCTAAGGATGTGGACAATTATTTCATGCTCCTGGAGAACTTTGAGCAAGAGGCATGGCCGGGTCTGCCGAAGGGGGTTGCCTTTCAAACAAACGGGATTTGAGGCTGCCAGGCACCACCAGGATAGTTATGACGTTTCGAGCATCACGTGACACGCGTCCCTCGGTGTGCCTGCTTGCATTAGACCCAACATACCTGACACGCTCTTCGCAGCATGGAGTGTCCCAAATCGACCTTAGGCGCGGACCAACACATACCAAACCCCTACGCAATGCGTCCAAACTTCAGTTCTTTTTTTTGAGGGGGCCAGCTGTCCAAAGAAGTGAGCATGATTTTTGTTCAACCAAGACCTGGGTGTTGTCAAACAATCTCGAATGAGTTCAAGAAGCATCAAGGCCTTCAGAGATGACCCATGGGGATCACTTCCGCCTCGTTCCATCCAGCGGTTTGAAGGTTTCTAAAGACGATGAGCAGACCACCATGACCAAGCGAAGTACCCGAATCCAGCAACACAGTTCAACAAAGGCAACCCAGCTATCTTGAACTCCTTTCTAGACGGCGCTTTTGTGTGGTTTTCTTCGGAAAATGCATGCCTTTGGGCCGATCTCTTGAACTCATTTCTACACGCCGTGTTTTTGTTTCTTGATGTGTAATTGATTGACATTCAGGATTCAGGATCTAGAATTGCTCAGAAGGTCTTTGGAGCCTTTTCATCAAACCGGTTCACGCTAGGATGGAGAGGCACCCGCTGACGGCGCAGCTGAGGGCGCTGAGGGTGAGGAAGAGTTACTTGGCTAGGGGATGCTAGGGGCATAGAACTGGATACACGCATATAGTTTAGCTTCCCGCCCAAAGAGATACAACAACTGTTTTTCAAACATGTTGAAGGGGTTCACTTTTTTATGTCAATTTCCCGTGGATGGTTCCAGATTTGCAGGACTCACCAACAAGTGCATTGGACTCATAGAAATGCGGCGAATGTTCTACCCACCAGGCATTGCCAGAATACCAACTGGATCTTGTGAACGATTCACTTCAGCGTTATGATATGTTTATATTATATGTGTTTCTTTACGCCTGTCTTCCTTCCCTTCCTTTCAGGCTTGGCTGGGCAGTGGACACCAACGCCGAGGGTGAGGCCGCAATGACATTGATGCTGTAAGCGGTTGGATGTGAATTGCTTTGAAGACATCCATGCAATTAACCCCCCAATGTGATGCTTGGGTGATGTCACCATGTGATTGAAACAGTAATGAGCAGTTGTGTTTGGCATGCTTTATCCCTCTATAAGTCCCTCTATATATATTATATGAAGACAGCCAAAAAAATATATATATATATATCAACGGTTGAACACGAAGTTGTCCTAGCTGCTCAGGCTGAACATGTGATATGGCCAGATGTATTTCTGGAAGCACCTACTAAAAAGAGACTCTGGCAGAGTCAATTGAAAATAAATACTTGAACAACACTTGACGCGCAGAAGTGTAGAACCAGCCAGCGCAATGTATATGCATGTTACATAGCTATTGGTATACATGTGTTAAGATTTAGAGATCAATAGATACCCAACCTGAATGTCTTCTGAACCGTCTTTGAAGCGACCTGCCCGACCTGTCTTCTTCCGGGCCCCGGCCCCGGCGCCGGTCGACGCGGAAAAGGACGGCATGGGCGAGACGGACTTCGAGGACTACGCCGCCGACCTGGCCCAGCAGACAGCCTTGCAGCTCGAGGCGGAGGCACAGTCGGGGAAGGGAGGTGAAGGGAGTCCATGATGGGCTTTGTCTTGTTGGAAGGTCTGGAAAAAAGGGCAAACTTAATCAAAGATCATATCTCAAAATCATATCTTTTTGGTGAGTCAATTGGCCAAAGCTCATGCACAACCAGGTGGATGCAGCCGCTGAGGCAGCGCTGGCCGCAGAGGCCGCGCTGGCAGAAGAGGCTGCGCTGGCAGCGGCGGCCTTTGGGGTGGCTCGGGCGCAGAGGCCATTGCTATTAGTAGGCCATCGCTATTAGGTTGGAGGCCTTCGCATTTTAGGTTGGAGGCCATCGCTACTAGGTTGGAGACCATTGCTACTAGGGTGGAGGCCATCGCTGACAGGTGCTTGGTATGATGGGGAAACGGACTTGGACTAGGTAGTTGTATAACCGGTATAGTTACTTCATCTACTTCTGTTGGAGTCCGGAGAGTTTCTGGCGGTATCATTCCCACTTGTTCACTATTTGAGCGGAAGCTAAATGGCCCGACCCGAACTTGGAAATCATTGCTTCTATATAGAGGACTGATCTTCCTTCTCAAGTTTCTGTGGGCCTCTTAGGGTAAGAAACCATGGGTTGCAAGCACAAGTGGGTGTTTGAAGACAGGCATGACTGCTTAGGCAGTCATTTTCATAATCCCTCACTTGGACAAGTTAAGCATTCCTCCATGGAAGCTTTCAATAGGCTTCAAGGTCATTAACCAGAACATGTTCCTCCAGAGCCTGCCACCCGAGTGGACCAGCTGTTCCTCGAGGTGGAAGACGAGGTGCCCGACTTCGACATGGGTGAATTCGTGCCGGAGAACGGGAATTTCGTGAACGACCCCGGTCTCATGCAGGACCTTGGACTCTTTGGACGTTTTTTGGACAGCGATGGATTCGAATCTTGATGGAAGAGATGATGTGAAAAACGTGTGAATTGAAAGAACTGTTTCGATATTTGCTTGGATGATGTTTTAGTCTAACCACTCAAGACTACTAAAATGGATGGGCTTGCATAAGAACATAATAGATAATATGCGCATTTGGAAGGAATCTCCAGAAGACAGCTTTGCTGTACGATCGCCATAGGGGAAGCAACACCTGAATAGCTAATGGTAT